CGCCTACTTGAAGGATGAACTTCAGAAAAATCGCGTGATAAATGGCGAATTGAATGATAAGCTGACCAGATCTGATGTTCGTACCAGCAATGATAAACATAAGCTGGATGAATTTGTTGCCAAAATCACGATGTTCGAACACGAGAAGAAGTTGTCCAAGCAGGTATGTGATGAAAACGATTTTGTCATTGAGTCTCTACGTAATGAAATGTTTTCATTGCAAAAAACTATAGGTGAAAGGGATTCTGAGATTGCGGCCCTCAAACAAGAACTCGGTCATGTGATGGAAGAACATGTGACTCTTCGAAGCCATTGTTCAACCTTGGAACAAAAGCTCAGCAAGAGTGAGGAGATTGTCAAAATGATCAATAAGCCAAAGTCCTCATTTGCTGAAGTTCAAAGGTTGAGTCATCAGATTGCGTGTTCAGACCAGAGTAAGAACTCCTCCAGTCAGAAACTGAAAGGTAAAGTGGGTGAACCAAGCACGTCTCTGAGTAAGTCCTCTCTAACTTTTGTGAAAGAAGGTTCCAACTCTGATGGTAAGGTTGATCAGGTTTCTGTGAAAGAACACCGTAAACGTTTTGTGAAAAATTTTATTCCTACTTGTCATTATTGTGGTGTTCTGGGTCATATTCGTCCTAGATGCTATAGGATGCTTAATGATTTGCATGCAGGAAGAATAAATGACTGGAACCCCGCCGGTGTTCCAATGAAAACACCAAAACTGAAGGTTGATGTAAAGAACCATAAGCAACAGAAAATTTGGGTTCCTAAAAAGAATCATACTTGTCTTTCATCTCTGTTTGCTTCAAAATCCGCTTCTAATCGTGATTAGTATTTTGATAGTGGATGTTCTAGACACATGACGGGTGTTAAATCGAATTTGATTGATGTTGTACCTGTGTCTAATGGTTCTGGTTCTGTCACTTTTGGTAATGGTGTTAGTAATAAGGTAGTAGGAATTGGATGTTTGAACATGCCTGGTCTTCCTAAACTTGATAATGTTTTGTTGGTTGAGAACTTGAATGTCAATTTGCTGAGTGTGAGTCAGTTATGTGATCAAGGCTTCTCTGTAAGTTTCACTTTGAAAGAATGCTTGGTTTCTGATAGGATTCATAATCGTGTTCTTACAGGGTCTAGATCGCATGATAATTGCTATTTGATTGATTATATGACTTTTGACTCATGTGATCCGAGTTCTGGTATTGTTAGAGAATGTGATGCTGATAGGGCTGTGAATGACGTTGATCAATGGAGTACGTCTGACGGATGTTCTTACACCGATCAGAACCTTGTGGCTGGAACTTGTTGTTCAGAAAAGGTGTGGATGAAGCACATTTTTCTTAAATTTGGAATTGAGGTACAAGCCATTGACCTTTTCTATGACCATACTTGTGCGGCTAATATTTTCAAATATTCTGTTCAACATTCTCTTAAGCGTACTAGCATACGTTGCCACTCTACTAGAAATTTGGTTGATGATGGTTTAATTGTTCATAAATATGTTCCAGCACATAACCTTGATGCTCAAAGATTTATTTCTCTAAGGAAATACTTAGGGATATGCATTCTCTGATTGCTTGCATGTCATTATATTATATTATATTGTATATTAGTATATATATATTTATCGCATTGCTTGTAAGCATATAGGGTATATTGCATTAGGCATGCTATTGCATCTTGCATTCTCTTCACCACTAGATTCCTAATTGAAGTTCTGACTCTTCTGAAAACTTGAGCGATGTTGACTGTCTTAGACTGGCTGCGTGTTTTTACTATACTGAGGAACGTACTTATATTCTGTATTTTTGGTTTTTGTCACAAGAGCTGCCTTCTCATAAATGATCTAGAGCGATAGCTAGCACATGGTTCGTTTCCCAATGCGGGATCGACTGTGAAAAGAGCGTCTGGGACAGAAAATGTTGAGAAAGGG